GTGACCCCCGAGCCCAGCCCTGCGGGACCCCCTCCTCGGGCAGCTCGCACGCCGTGCCGGCCAGCCCGCAGCCCCCGTCCTCGCTCCGTCCCTCCCCACCTCCCCGCAGAGCGCCCAAAGGTCCCTGCGCTCGCCGGAGGAGCAGGCAAGCAGAAATTGTTTCTCGCTCCTGGCTTTGCCCAACTTTACCTGCTGTTTTCTCTCCTGCATGCCTTTCCTTGGGGACAACCGCAGTTGACATTAAAAAAATGGTGGCAGGTACGGAATCGCCTCCGTCGAGTTGCGAACCTGGGGCGCCCGCGTGCATGTGAGCTGTCTTGTGAAACGATCCAATAAATCGATGAATAAACCTCACCGGAGTGTTGTATTTTTCAAGCCGTGTTTACTCCTGCAGGCGTGAGAGTGTTTTGTGGATGTGTCAGTTCACGTTTCCGTGACCGCTGGAGGAAACCACCTGGGGAACCGGGCTGGTGGCTCGTGACACCCCGTGCCCCTGTCTTGTCGAGGACGTGACGCTGTGTCTGTCAGATTTGCAGTAGCCGAGTCCCGTGCAGTTAAACCAGCAGCCGTACCGAGTCGTGGAGGTTTTTTTGGGGCGTTTTCCAGCCTTCCCATGAGCTAGCTCTTGTCTTGCGTGTGGCCGGTTGCTCTGCAGGGAGGTTCCTCGGTGTGGCGTAGCGTCTCTGTCCGTGTAGACCTCTGTATGTGCTTTCGGTTCCCAGGACGGGCAGCCCTCCCGTGCGCACACACCGCTCACCTGCTGATCCTCGGTCCCCCTCCCGCGCTGGGCCTGACCCCGCAGACTGCGCTTGCATGAGTACCCTTCGTCCTGAGAGCCAGTTGTGGCAGCCAGAGCCTGGAGACCTGGCCGGGATCGCACGTCTCCTCCTGCTAGGGCCAGAATTTAGGAGATCGTGAGATGTAGACTAAAAGAGGGCAGATTTAGGTTAGATATTAGGAAGAAATTCTTCCCCAGGAGGGTGGTGAAACCCTGGCCCAGGTTGCCCAGAGAAGCTGTGGCTGCCCCCTCCCTGGCAGTGCTCAAGGCCAGGTTGGATGGAGCTC